CAATGTGAAATTTGGCCAGGACGCCGGGGCTATAGTCCAGAGACATACGTAGGTTGATTGGCTTCTGGGAAAATTGGCCCTGGATGTTCGTGTGTGCATGTCTGTGTCTATGTGTGTTTCGTCCAGGGCGTATCCTGTGTTGCACCTTTCGCTAGCGGGGATAGGCTCCGACTCCCTTGTGACCCTGTACTGGGTAAAGTGGTTAGAAAATAGTTGGATATGGAAAAGAATCAAACCAAGAAGCGATGATGTAGTGAGAGGTGGCATGGTGGGAAAGCTCAAAACTCAAGATGGCTGCCTGTCAATTGGAAAAGCCTGTGGCATGAGGCATACTGTAGCTTTTTTTAATGGAAAAGTGACACTCGGTGGGAGTGAGACTCCATGTAAAGGAAAGGAGCAATCAGGACACGCTCTGCATGGAATTAGCCATTCCTCTGGGCTACTTAAGAGACTTAGAAGACCAGTTGCAAGGAAGGCTTTCTGTTTGCAAGCAGGCTGAAAAGCTCCCTCCTTGCAGTGGGTAGATGGGTCAAATGGTCTGCTGTCATTTGTATCCTTTGATATGCTCATTATTGAACTACAGGCTACCCTACAGAGGCTGTTTAGGCTGTAAAGATAACCTTTCCAGGCTGTGGAAACCCATCATTTAAGAACTTGTTTGATCTGCCCTTGATTGACAGGCAACATGCCCGCCTCCAACATGTTCGGAAAAGGACCTTATTGTCGTACTGGAGAACTTTATGCTACTCTATGTAAACTGTCGGATCTTCCCTTAAATAAATGCAATATGAAATTTTATCTTTTAGTCTGTAATTTATTTAAAGAAACTTTAACATTCCATAACAATTCCTTGATTCTTTTTAAATATTTACACACATGGAAAAATGGATTAAAACACTGTGACAACACTATTCCCCGGATTTTCTTTCAGAAGTTGAATGTTTGTAAAGTCATATAGTTGTCCTAGAACAACTCTGAATCACCTACTTTAATAGTTTGAGAGTCACACTATAATGTACAATGACAGTGCGTGACAGGAAAAGTTAGGCACTGTGAAATTCAGAGGTTACCTGCTGTGTTCATAAAGGTTTTCTAAAATAAGGTCAGCCACAAAGTAATGATGTGAAACTAGTTTTACAGCTGAAGAGGTCTAAAGTATGATCGATATTTTTAGCCCTTTTGACTCAATAAGACTTCTATGTCAACTCTGAAACTTAATGAGTTGAAAGCCATTAAGAATCCCTGATTCATTAGCAATATTGAAGAATTACAAATGCAGTCTAAATCGGGTACTTTGCTTCAAGCACAGCAATGGATTCTTATGGAGAAAGTACACATACAGAGGACAGCAGGGATTTAGTTTTGTCTTCCCTCATTTCTTATACAATTATATAAAGTTAAGTTAATTTTTTACTACATGAAAGTGTATAATTCCTATTGGTTATGCCGATGTGTTTACATTTTTTAAGGATGAGATTCCCTCTGCTACATTCTACTGAAAATATACTTCAAAACAGCTGAACATGTCCTCTCATTTTTTCCTCTTTTATATGACATGCCAGGAGCCTGCAGTACAATATGTGCTCTGCAAAGCCATAATGTAAGTACAGCATTACTAAAAAGATTTAAATAACCGATCCTATCTGTTACAGTATTTCAAAACTGTCAACCTTAAACAACCCTAAAATTAAAGCAGAATAAAATAAGCAACGGCACTCTAAAACAGTCGGCCACAATATTTTCCTTGGAAATTGTGAATGTGTTGTGATCAGGCTCCCCCGTGTCGAGAACAAATCAAATACTTACTCGCCATTGTGGTGGACACTGTCGTAGCGCACAAACAGTGAGGTGTAAATGGCCTCTGTGAGCAGCGAGTAAATGGCGATCATAATGAGCAGCACCGCCAGCTTCAGGACCGAGTTGAGGCGCAGAAAAACCGCGCACGTCACCATTGCCAGCACGCCGGTGAAGACAAAATACTGTGAGACGGAAACAGAAAGAACAAGATATTCGCGGATATCACTTCCTCCGCGCATTCCTTCAGGCTGGAAATTGGCCCTGCGTGTGCTGCAGTAGGCTTGGGAAAGCCTTTGGATATGTCCGTTGTATCAACACTAAAGAGGGTTTTTTTGGTGTCTGATCAATTTCCATTTATATCGCGGCTCTATTTCTTTTCATCAAGGATGCTGCGTGTTTTGTGTTGTGGGGCTCTGTAACAATCTCAGGAGAAAAATGAGACTACTGCTCTACATACTTGTAGACATATACCCCCTTTAAAATGTCCAGTATGACTTCAGACCAAAGTCCAACCCACTGTCTATTGCAGCCACAAAATGACACCATGTGGATTTACATCATTCAAGTAGTCTGGTCAAACCCTAAAATGGGGAAGAGGCAGGATTCCAACAGTGAACTTTACTGAGGTTATTCATCTGGCCAAGGAGAAAGACAACCAATCTGTACAGATGGGCTTATCAGAATCCTCCTCCCCCACCTTTAATGAAGGATGAGTCAAGTAGAAGAAAAGGAAAGGGTTGAGGGAGGCACACAAAAATGGAATACACAAGAGTACATGTATTTATACTGTGTACATTGAATGGAAATGACACATTGAAAGCTACAGTATGGTGAACATCACAAGACAACGTGAAAGCAGAAAAAAATACCTCTGGGTAGAAGCAGATATCTGGTATTGAGGCAGATGCATTGAATGTCTGATTTCTGAAGGTGCTTGACTTGTCAAAATCACACCACAGCTGTAAAAAAAAAAGACTACTGTAGTAGACCTGTTTAAAAACTGCAAATAAGGCTCTTGGTACATACTTTTCAAACAAAAAAGCTGTCAGAGAGACCATTGTAAAAACTTTGATATGAATTATTTTGTTTGAAATTCAACTTGGATTGATGTTTTACCAATTAACTATTACATATTACATAAAGAAAGGATCATAAATAAGAATAACCTTTTAATGAAGATATTGTCATAATGGTGAGTATGATACTGCTGTTCTGCACTGTCAGTTTTTGCCTGTCCTGTGGCCTTGACATGGTTTGTTATGGCTGATCTCCAAGGGGTAAGCTGCAGTAAATTTCAGATCATAATGGGATTTATAATGTATTGTACACAGTAATGCTAAATTATAGTTTTTGTATATGATTGAAAGTTGAATATCGACTCTCAAAACATGTAATTACATGGTTTAATGGGAGTGAAGTGGTCAATATAGCAGTGAAAATAACTATGAATATAACAATACAAATAAAGTATATTCTAAAGTGTTATTTTAGTCTTTAGTGGGAAGGTAAAAGTAGGTAAAAATAGTCTGTAAACGAAACCATGAAATGTTTCTTACAGTATGTGGCTAAAAAGAGCTACAAAACAAATGTAGTAAATTAAGATATACACATATAAGAATACTTAATTATGAATAAACATGCATAATTACTGCTGCGACATTGATTGTAGCACTGGTGTGGGCCTTTGTATTCTTAAGAACTTACAACATCCAAGTTAATCATCATGTTAATATTATATCTTCAATTCAGTCATTGCATGTACTGTATATATATATTTTTATGTTCATTGTTTTCAACAGGCTTTCTTTTTAATGCATTCAATGACCAGCAACACAAGGGGTAAACTAATTAAAGAGAAGTCTGTTCACAATTTAATGTGTAAAATGCACACAATACACTTTTGTCTGGGGGAACATATTCTTCTAGGTTGTGATGAGGGCTTATACTTATCATCATTTAGAGCCTCTCAATCTGATGACAGGTCTAACATTTTCAATCTCAGAATGTAAATTATCATAATTGGCCACCATCTCTCCCATTCTGCATCTGTCTGCTGGGGAACGTGTCGCTGTGGGTGAGCAGCAAGCTTAAGTCAATGTACTGGGCTTAGGTGTTGCTGTGACATTTCTTATCTCAACTTAGGCAAACCTGGTGACTGAAATTCAATGCATGTCAAAAGCTGGAAGAAGAACGTTTTATTTTACAGACATTTTGTAATTTACAAACATGGTTTCTGTTATATTTATTTGATTGAGTATAAACCTGCAGAAACGTTATAAACAAATGTAATGACTCACAACTGACTTAATCAGGAAAGGCATGTGTTAAGGTTTAAATCTGAATCCGACAGCACAGACCTCACCAGTATCTAAGAGGGATATGGCATGAACCAATTGTAAATGGGCTTCCCCGGTCTATTAGGCACAATTAGCCAGCCACAGCCAGGGTAATGCAGAGAAGTAAGGAGTCATAGTGCAGCTCAGAACATGTTTGAAAGAACTTACAAAAATGACTGTATGAAGAACTCCAGAGAGCAAAATGTACAGTAAGTCCATTCCTCAGAAGCCAAGTATGAAAGCCAAGTTGATGGTTTTCATTTTTTATACTGTACATCACTACAGGCAAAGAATAGCCATCTGTGTTACCATATAAAGAATAATATTTTGTGTTATGTTTTAGTTAATGTGTCATGTTTAATGTTTAAATATTTGGAATGAACATACACTACCCATTTTTGAACACTAAAACGCAAGCTTAACAGAATGTCCAGTTGTCAAGCATTATGCTCTGTCAGGGGCATTTGTCATTTTATATAAAGTTTTTTACTGCCACAGAGTGACAACAGATTGCCTGTTTTTAACAGTGAAGGAAGAAAGCAAACTGATTCTAACTGAACTCTACTACTGTTCAGTTACAGTCTACTGCTGTAGAGTAGTGATTTGATGGTCACCTCTCAGTTCACATACTGCTGTCAGTGAGCACCACTTCACTCCAAACAATGCAGTCAGAGACACATACAGTATGACTTACTATCTTTAGAGACAATGACACTTGAAAACAAGCAATTTAGCCTCTTCAGCAGAAGTTCCTGAGTTTAGATAAACAGGAGGCCCTGGTTCACTTACTTGCGCTTCCTCATTAATCAACGTCCACCCATACCAGATGTTTGGTCAACATTCAAAACACTCCAGAAAGACTCAGTACAATGACTAAAAGCAGGAACCTAAAACTCTGCAAAAGGGATCAGTTGCTAAATTTCCTTTTGGTAGGATGGAAAGTCATTTTCAAGCAAGGTTCACTGATATTATCACCACTAATGACTAAGCTCTTCATGTTCCTTGTAATTATTTCTTGGCACAAACATCGTTCAGTGGCTTCTGGATAAGCACGTGATGGTTCAGCCCCATTAAGTTCTGATTAATTTCCATTCCCACTTTATGTGTACAAGTAACCTCAACATTTGGGATTTTAGAGAGACCCACATGCAACCCCATTTACTGACTAACATGATCAAATTAAAGAAATGCTAATAGGGATGATGGCCCAGACACAAATGTGAACATTTCATCTCATTAGGGTCAGGCACATGTGATAAGGTAAGCACAACAAAGCAGAATGATTACATTTTCTATTTATAGGGGATAACATCACCCTGATCTCCCTTTAGTTGAGCTCCATTCTTTCCATATCAGAGCACTGCACTAGCTTTAATACTTACAATATTTATCATGGCTGCAAGGAAGTTTATAAGAATTGAGGCAAAGATTATGACATTCCTGGCCAAATATGTCTCGTTAATCCAGCAGCAGGCTTTACGAAGCACCAGCGGCAGACATTTATAATCCTCTGCAGTGGTTATAAGGACGAGGGCAGAATGCAGCATGATGAGAATAGAAAACTGTATCACCATGGTCACCATCCTGTAATGAGAGATAGTACTAAGGTCATTGCCCCAATAGAACAGAATGAGAGCCCAGGATGCCCAACTTTCCATCCCAATACCCATACAGGAAACAACCAGTGATTCATAAAAGACTGAAATGCCACACTCTTGGAAAAAAAAACCTCACAAAGGATGTATACAATTTTGTTCTCAAGGCATGAAACCAGACAGGAAATAAGTATAATCACCTCTAGCCCTCTGTCTTGTAGCACATAAAAAGGTCTTAAAAATATTTTGAAAGTGTATGGAATGAGGGAAGTGGGCAAGATAAACAATGAAGAAAATCACAATTTCCGTTTTATAGTCTTCAAATGGGGAGAAAGAGTGTTATGTGACTGACCGACAGCCTGCTGACCAAAATGTCAGTATTTTAACAATACATGAGTTTAACCAAGAGTAAGAAAGGGAGAGGCAGCCATTCAAGGCAGGAACTCAATATAGTTGCACAATAATGATGAATTCTGAAACCTCTCTTGGGACATTTTGGGTTCAATGCACCCACCTTTATTTGTTCAATCAAACAATGTACTGTACAAGTACCCTTATCTATTCCCTTGCTGCTAACAATTCTGGTGAATATTTTGCACTTTTACATCTTGTGTCTTGAGCTGTAGTAATAATCTTTTTCAGAGGAAAGGAATAGGGTGTGGGAGTTTATATATATATATAAATTTGAAAGTGACTGTGGAATAATATCACTGGAATTTTCAAAGTGAAGTTTCATTGTCTGAGCTAACTGGGGGCTGCCCCTACTATGCTCCAAGTTCTGTTTTTACAGTAAGTGGGCCTTAACATTTGCCATTTTTATAACATTAGGGCATTAGCCATCAATTCTGTCCTCTGATCATGCAAATGTGTCATTATTATTCATGAAAATAAGATTCAAGATGCCCGAAGCTCTTTATGAGTGTCACACCATGCCAGGGATTTAAACTGCATCGAGTTTTAAGGGAAGAGTGTTATTTTAAATGCAACTGCAGAAGGACTTGGTGAACAGTGTTCATGGAGTGTGAGCAAGGTGGATGATTTGATTATTGAGAAAATAAGTTTATTAGATGGATTTTACTCAAGATGCACTGATATTCTACAGAACGCCCAAAGAGCTTCCTTCATAGGTCACATAAATAAACAGTAGCTTTAATCGTCATCATCATCATCATCATCACATAAATGGCAATGATATGTGTACATGTTCACATTTGTTAGCATTTGTTCATGGTCCTTCTTTACCTGGATGAAGGCAGTAAACTCTGGATAGCCGTGATGAATATGAGAACTATAAAAGCACACACCAGGTTGGACTTGAACACTTCATCCCTCATCTGAGAGTACTGTAGGAGAAAGAAAATTAAAACAGATAGACAAATAAACAAATGGATTCTAGTGTGCTCTGAACATCCCACAGTGCTTTGCAATGGTCATGCTTCTTCTACAAGCAAAAGGGCAGACAGCAAAGGCCTGTTGAGAGGTGTGAAAATGAAAGCAATTGCTGAATGACAATTTAATTGAAAATTACTGGAAAATGAATGAATTGTCCAATTTTGAAAATCAAAGCCTCCGTACTGCCCTGCTCTCTGCCACTTTTTTTTTTAACAAGGGTGCTGGGAAATTAGCAAGAGGATGCCTAGTGTATTTTTTCAACAGCTATGCCAAAAAAAGGAAGACCAACATCAACTAACTTGACATTAAGCAAAATCAATGTAAAAGAGGGTTAAACGTGTTTTAAAAATGGTCAAAACAATAAGAAGGAAACTGAAGACAGGGGCTGTTAAATGGTAAGGATACATATAGGGAGCACTCATGTGAAACAGGAGGGGTTTGCAAAACAAAGCTTAAAACTCTTTCAACAGAACTTGTAATGACAACAAGTCCACATCATACATTTGGTCATGAGTAAACTAAAGGGAAATCTACTCCAAGAGTTACACCTGTGGTGGAGCCAATTAGTTATTTTTTTTTTTAATGTCTTTGGTTCACAAAGGTCTGGGTAGGTAGCTTTCATGTCTTTTCTCTCCATTAGTCTCCAAAGTGTGGTTATATTTTGTGAAAAATGTCATTGTTATCTCCCTATGATACAGGAAGATTTGTAAAGAATATGCTCTGCAGTGAATTTCAGATTCTGATTTAAGTGCTTGCTTGCTCTTTTAGTTTACTATATATAGTAAACAGTAAAAACAAATTTCCACTGTAATTATTAAAATCGTATTAACCAAATTCAAGCTGCAGTCTACTTTTACGAGATGTACTGTACACCCAAAACTTCCAAGGAAATATAACCAGCAATACAGGAACACAAACATGCAGAGTGCATTTCATACTGAAATACTGACTTACGAGAAGAATTCTGCCCTCCATTTGAATAAAAATGAAAAATAAATATTTTGGTAAATTCTGGGTGTTAACTTTCCATAACAAAAGTGTAAGATTTTCTGCAAAGCCACCTTTCTGCAAAATTAAGACATTATCGTTGCATTCACGCACATTTTAATGACATCTGAACTGACGTTTTATTTTAATGAACAAACTTTTTTTTCTTAGTGAAAACTGCTTGAGTGCCAAAATCAAATTCTGTAAAACGTTTTTTTATATTGGTGATTTAACAAGAAATCCACTGTTTTCCTACTAATTTTATATTTCAAACCAAATTCATATGTATCGCAGAACAATAAATTTAATTAAATCTGTTCATAAACATTAGTGAAATTAAAATACTTAATTCTACTGAGTTATCAAAAAATATGCAAACGAGAAGTATGTGCTGTACCTTTAGCTTACTCATGATAAAAGTATGGCAGACTTTTTCCCATTTTATATTTATTCACGTATGTTTATTTTTATCCGATACAGAGAATCTGTCTAAGACCCAGCTACCTTCTCTTCCAGGCTGGAGTCTTTAAACATCAGTGAGAAAGGCTTGATATGCTCTCTTCTCAATTTATCGCCACTCCGTAAGTCGATGGCGTGCTCTATTCGCTTGTTAATTTCCTCAGGACCAGACTGGACATGCAAAGCTTGTGCAAGATGGTTTGGAAGCAGATTTATTGAATTTCTCGTAAGGGCAGCCAGAGTCTAGGGGAAAGCACATGCAAATAGAATAAACCTGCTTGTCCCCTTTCAGATAAATATGCAATGTTTTAGATAAAAAAATGGCTCATAGCATTTCATGCATTTTCCATACATTCATGTAGGGTCTGGTGCTACTGGAAAGAATACTTACTTTAAATAATAATAGAAAAATAAAAGTCAGGTAGGATTAAAAAAAAAGTCTTCTCTATTCCAACGTTTAAACATGCAAAATGGCAACCATTTTGGAAAAAACACTAGTGAAACTTCATTTATTCTGTACAAAACCCAATTACTTCAGCCTAGCTACACATTCAAACTACTGTAAGTCTGTAAATGGTTACTTGTAAAAGGAAAATCAAACCTTACATTAACACTTTGCTACCTTACAGTTGCCTTGTCAATTCAGACATTATATAGGCTTGTCTATGCAATTAAAGAAAAAAAAAAGTATTTTTTAATGAGAAACATGGTATACTTGGTGCTATGCTTTAAAACATTTTTAATTGGAGGTATCTTTTAGTGCTAATGAAAAGTGCCCCACCTTCTAGAGTGCTAACCCTTCATTTTGAATTTTGAGGAAAAAGTGGATATGATGGGGAATGTATATACAGTATGTGGTCTACCTTATTTACAGTGAAAGACAAAAGCCGATAATTTGTACCTTTTTTCTTCTTGAATAGAGATCCTTTTAGATCAACGTTACAATTAATAAAATGTGGTCTTAAAATTCATATATGATATTTCTTTTTTTTACAGTTTTGTTTCAGATTCAAATTTCCTACACTGCAATTTATTGGAATTGATTCTAATATGCAGAAATGTCTACATGTTTAATGGAGATTTAGACATTTTATTTCTGTAATTACAAAAGCAGATTTTACTGGGTTAATGTTCTTGACTTTTTAAAAGGAAGGTTCAGTTCCTAAAACTGACAAAAAGTTTAATTTCCAGTACTTGATCAAGTGACGTTTTTGACAATCAAATAAGATTTTTTTTTGTTACTGTACCAGGTGTTTTTGAAGAAAAAAAATGATTTTCCTTTTACAAAGTGAACGAAGTACTCTCTAAGTTAAATGTTTTGGAAAAGTCCAAAACTTTAGATTTGTATATTTAAAATGCAACATGTCTCTAATTTATCCATGTAGTAGAGGTACAAGCCATGGGCCATGATGACTAAATAATGATGTTCTCCTGTTTTCCTATAGTTTCCAATATCTTTGAATCTATTTGTCATAACACCTGAGATTTTTAAAATGAAACATTCAGAACATACAGACAAATCAATACCATTGATGCAACTGTTATAAGCAATGAGCATTTATTAATGTCAAGCTTTAACCATAAAATGACACAGTTACCAAGGAGAAAAACCTTTCAATATAAGGGGATGTAAAACCTGAGCCAACGATACATGTTTAACGTATAAACTTTAAAAAAACTGTAACTGTATGAACTATACAACACATTGCATAATTTGTATTTTCTAGAGTTTTAAAAAAAGGTGTCTGTTACAAGAAATATTTGTTTCTTGGGCTGTTCCTTTGTCTAAAGCCTCTATCAAGATTTTTTATAGACTATGTAAATGAAGTGTTAACATAGCTTATAAAAAAATATGAAGTTTTTTTTATATGTTCCTCAAATGCAGCTATTCACTTGTTATAGATGTAGGTTTTGTAACCGCATGCAATAACTTGCACTTGCCTGTTTAAACTTCAGCATCGTGGTGTTTGACCAGTCTTGAATTTGATCTAATGTTATTTAAATGCTTTTGGATCATTTAATTGCGGCTTCTGCAGTATCTGCTAATACCCTTAGTTTGGTGTTGTCTGTTAACGTGACTAGTTTACAACCTACAGTATACCAGGTTCTTAACACCAGGGCATAAATGAGGATGACGAGCGATCCTAGTGCAGATTGATATGGTACTCCAGTAATTACATCCTGCCACTTCATTCACCCCTTTTCTCTTATTTCTCGTTTTCTCTTCTTCTCTTCCCTTTTTTTATCAATGAACTGTCTCAATCCAAATACACAAATGACCTTGAATAGCTACTGCCTGAAATTTGATTGAAAGCAAGACCTACTGTATCTTTTCTAAATATATACTGGTCATCCTTTAGGGTCCTATTTTTATATAAATAGTCCTCTGGTTTAGTTATAATTGTCATTTACATAACCTTACACATGATAAATGTCCTACTAGTCTGTAAATACAGTATTAGGGCAGTTATTGTCATTCTTTTTATGGAAGGATACTGTATTAACAGTTTTCCAGTCAATGGGTATTAACTCAGTCTCGAGTAACTGAAGAGTTTGATTCTGTTTTTAAAGGTAACCAGTAAATCAACCCCTGAAATTTAAATTAAAATATAGAATTTGTAAGAATATTTAAATAAAGATCATGTATAGCAGATAGTATGTCAAGTGTGATAATCAGATTCCTGTACTTAATGTGTGCTTATTTATTTTTCTTTTCCTGATAAGTTAATGTGGGCTTAATTCAGATGTCTTTTATTTGAATAAAGAGCAGGCTCAGTCTGGGGTTCCTGAATTGTATAGGTCTGTAGTCATACACAAAGTCCTTAGGCTGGATTAATGTTCAAGATGACATAGTTGAAAGGGAAATTACTTTAATCGACCTTAATATCTGAAAGTATCACCTATTAAAATACTTTAGAAATACTCATGGGTCCTTGCTTTGGTGAGATTGCTTCTGAATGTCAATAAATTGAAACTTCTTTTATTTATTTTCTGTCAGCTCCAAGGCTTACTGAAATATTACTAGGCCATCTGGGGTTAAGTAAATGCAGGGCCCTGGATATTGAAGTGTGCTGATCTTTGTTGAACTAAGAAAAGATTAAACTTCTGTATGTATCCCTATAAAATCTGTCTGACCTCCGTATATACAGTTTATACTTGGCAGTCTAGTTTATTTATGTTCTTGATGAAAATGTTTTTTACTATATTATCGTCACAATAATTAAATTAATGGGCATATGTGAAGAAGAAGGCATTTACTGTGAAGACATAGGAATGCTTGATGAAAAAGTCTAATCTCTGTGCCTGAAATTTATTGTTTCAAGCTAAGGGTCAGTGTAAAACAGAATGGATCAGTTCAGAATAAAGTATTCACTCAGATTTTCACAGGAATTATCTAGGTGACATACAGTTTTAAAATCATTAACATTATACAGATACTTAGCATCAGTTTTAAGCTGAAGCTAAGATGCTTTGACCAAACTTTGAGAAAGGTTGCTGTGTTACAATGACCCTTATTTGTCCTAATTTATCAGACATCTTAAGTCTTATACTGTACATCAAGCATGAGACACACACATGAAGAGGTAATCTCACGTTTAGGCACTCAGCTCTTTAAATCTCACATACTGACTTCACCCACTCATTCTCCTGCTGGGAATTATCACAGTTTCCAAGCTTAGAAATCTCTGGTTACCCTACAGAGAACCTCAGTCACCTTGTAAATATAGACAACAATTCTTCTGTTTGTGTGGAAATTGCTACCCTTCACAACTCACAGATTAATAACCTTTGTTCATTTTGATGAAGAAGACTCAATAAAGCAAAGTTTTTGTAAAACCAAATTAATAGGAATGCAGCTCCTGGTGAAATTTACAAACTAGGTACCAGACTTTGGGGAATTTTGTAGACACATCTCATTATACACCACATCAAGAGAAACAGAATTCCTGAACAGAATTCCAGTAATGACAAAATTCTGAAGCACCATAAAATGAATATCTGATCAAATTCATTTTCCTATGGAAAAAAAAAACAGGAATTGTTTTTGAATAACCTTACAGTACAGTATATATGTATTTAATTAAAACACCACATCACATAAAACATGTGTTTTGTAAGTTCTGGGTATTTGAGTAATTCATATTATGTTAAGATGTTAACACTATGTGCAGTGAAAAGCTACCCTACACATTGTGGAAATAAAATTAAGAATAGTCCTGAGATAATGGATAATGCTAGATATGCAATACCATCCAGCATAAGTATGCAGCCACAAAAATAAGCAGGACATTACTGAGACAGTATCATTTAATTGAAAGAACAAAAAGGGCAGACAACATATACAGTAAATGCGAAAATATTGACAGGAGTTCAATGTTAGCCAATCACAATTAAAAAAAAAAAAGATCCAGTCAGTTGTTACAATTCCAAATGAATTCCAGATAATTTTCCCAAAACATCAAGAGTTAATAGCAAATTATTTTAATGATCACTTCTTAACCTGTGTTGTGCCTCACTGTATTTTCCCATTTTAATCTTTACAAATATTTCTGAAAAAGAGAGCACATTTTGATCTCTGGAAAAATGCCCCGGAAATCCATTTCAACGCACAAGAGACAAAATTCGCTTCTAAAAAGCAAGAATATAATGGAAAATCTCCGTATACAATTTATTTTTTTACTTTGTAGGCTGCTTGAGAGATCTTGCACTCATCATATTCCAAGCTTCTTCGTTATCTCCTCTAGCACAATCCTGTTACAGAGCTTAGCAACTCAAATGGCAAAGCGCAGTCCATGTCATTTTGCATCCATCATGCAGCCCACTGGATAAGGGTAGGCGTATATTTTCACTGACTCACACAAGCCACTTACTCGCTCTGTTAACATTTGAACATGCTTAATACAGCAGTGTTAAAATACTGCCATTGCCACTTCAGACAAAGATCTTTTAAAAGATGATTAATTCATATAGAACAGTAAAAAATACACTCTATACAAAAACAAGACATTCAAAATCCAATTTTATTATTAAGGTAAACTTTGTGGAAAACATAACTAGCTTTTCCATGGGAACTTTTTAGATACAGTACAGTACGTAGCTACAGTATATAGATTATATGATGAAATGACATTAAAAGTAAACAAAGTCAAGTCCAACACTGTAACTGATGATAAGTATCACTAAAAATAAATAAAACTTCTCAAAATGATAAGAAAGTAATATATTTCATCAGACACTACTGT